CTACTACTACTACTACTAGCACTACTACTTCTACGACGACGGCCACCGCTACTGCTACTGCTACTACGAAGAGCCCGAACGACTCACACCAGGAAGAAGGGCCCGAACGACTCACACCAGGACGAGAAACCCCAGACGACTCAAAGCACGAGGAGCGCTTTCTCTCTTTCCTCCTCCGCCTCGTCCTTCTCCCGCTTCCACCACAAGGAGGATGTACAAGGAGGCGGGAGGAAGGAGGAACAGGGGAGATATGCGGGGGCAGGCGGAAACACGCCTGAAAAACACGACTGTCGGCATGCTTCGCAAGAGTTGCTGTTTTGAGATGGGCTGGTGGGGACACGCGAAGCGTAAAGAATTTCTTGTGGGGCCTTATGTTTTCCGGAACTGTCGACGGCGGCGACGACGCCGACGTCTACGACGATGCCGAAGCCGACGACGCCGACGCCGGCACCGACGCCGACGCCGACGCCGACGCCCACGCCGACGCCCCCGCCGCCGCCGCCGCCGCCGACGACGACGACAACGACGACGACGACGACGACGACGACGACCACGACCACGACAACGACCACGACCACGACCACGTCGGCAGCGGCGACGGCGGCGGCGCCGACGACCCACGGGGGGCCACAGAGCTCTGTTGGGCCCCCTGGACTTTTCGGCAGGCGGCGCCGACGATGGCGGCGGCGGCGACGGAGGCGGCGTCGGCGGCGACGACGACCACCACCACGACGGCGGCGGCGCCTCCGCAGGCTCGCCCAGGCCCGCCGCCTCGCACGCCTCGTCGCCGTGCGCGTCGGGCTCGTCGCCGCGCTCGCCAGGTTCGGCCTCGGCCTCCGGCGCGGGGGGGCAGGTCGGGCCTTGCAGCCATCTGACCCTCGTCTCACCAGAAGGGCCACCGCATTGGGAACGGAAGTGGAAGAGGACCTCCTCCACCTCCCCTTCCTCACTCTCCTCCTCCTCCCATGGGGGGCTGGGAGCAGAAAGCACGTGGTCAAACCAGACGGGCACATCGGGCCGGGAGACCCTGGCGGGCGAGTCGGGAAGGCGGGCCAGGTCGAGTAGGCGGGTTGCTGAAGCGTGAGTCCTCCATGAATCACGAGGAAATCTCGCGAAATAACGCGATTCCCACATAACTTCTTAGAAAGGCCAGCGCGAGAGCGTGATTTCTGAGTATCGAGGGCGCGGCGTCTGAGTACATTGGGCGGAAGTCTCACGCGAGAGCGCTTCCAGCATACGTTGAACAAGGCAACGCAAGCAACAGCAGGTGATAGGCTACAGTTCGAGTTGGACGAGGAAGAGGAGGACCAGTAGGAGGAGGAGAAAGAGGAGGACCAGGGGGAGGAGGTGTGAGGAGGAAGGGGAGGAGGAGGAGGAGGAGGAGGAGGAGGAGGAGGAGGAGGACCAAGAGGAGAAGGAGGAGGCCGCGGGGCCATAGAGGGGCAACTGCGGCACAGAAGCCACGCTAGACACATATGGGTCCGACGCCCCCAAGGGGGGCAGCGCGGAGGGCGAAAGCCCCGTCGCGGACGACAAGGTACGCCCAAAGTGCGGCCAAGAAAGTGGAGGCGGGCGCGTCCGCGACGAGACACTGGAACCTGCCGCCCTCCAGCGTCGCGATGATGAGCAGCATGCCTCACGGCCAAGGCGGCGGAGGCAAGCCCGACCGCGGAGCCAGGGCACGACGCCTCTTCAGCGTGTCGAGCAGCACGGGGAGGCGCTTCTCGTCCCAGCCGAGGGCGCCGAAGATCACCGCGTCCACGGACGGGTTCGACAAGATGGCCAGGAGCTCCGCGACGACCGCCGCGCACTTGCCAGCCACCGCGGGCGTCGGAGCAGCGGCCGCAGCAGCAGCAGCAGCAACAGCAGCAGCAGCGGGCACCAGGGCGGACGACACATCCGCAGGTGGCGCAAGCTCCGGCTTCAGCACGCCCACTGCCATGGCATCCCGCTCCACCGGCTGCGCGGGACGCGCCCCGTCCGCCCACTCATCGTCGATGCTCGCCTCGGACGGCGGCCCGGCGGGCGCACCATCGCGAGGACCAGCGCAGCCCCCAGTCACGGCCACCAGCGGAAGTGCAGCGCGAGCCGCACCTGCCTGTCCAGCGTCCGCGGCCGCACCAGCGGCGTCACGCCGTCGCGAGGCGCTGACGGCGTCGGCGGCGCCGCTCCAGCTTGACCGCCGAAGCGGTCACGGGAGCAGCAATAGCAGCAGCATGATGATCGGCATCAGGGAGCGCAGCGGCAGCCGCAGGCGGCGTTGGCCGATCGTGCAGCGCGAAGGGCGCGGCGCTGACGGCCGAGCGCGCCGCGGCAGCAATCGTGCGCCTTGGTGCCTTGGCAGCCACAACGCACGCACCGCCGCCTCGACGAGAGCAGCAGCGGCCGCCATGGGAGCCCCTCTAGGCACGGGCCCGCCGCGGAGGGGGGCCCAGCCGTGCGACCGCATGAGCCAAAATGAAAAGAAGGAGGAGGAAGAGGAGGATGAGGAGCAGGAGGA